TCTGTATGTTTCTTTTTCAGTTGTGTGATTTGATTATTTCATTACTTTATGTGTATGGATGTTTTGCCTGCATGTATGCCTGTGCATCATAACCATGCCCGGGGCCTGTGAAGGCCAGAAGATGGTGTGAGATCCCCTGGAATTGGAGTTATAGATGATTGTGAGCCACCATGTCGATTCCGGGAATCAAATCCAAGTCCTCTAGAAAAACAGCCAGTACTCTTAACTGCTGAATCATCTCTCTTGCCCCAAATTGATAATTTTAATGTTGGTAAAAAAAAATATATTTTAGGCCAGGAGGTGGTGGCACACGCCTTTAATCCCAGCACTCGGGAGGTAGAGGCAGGTGGATGGATCTCTGTGGGTTTGAAGCCAGCCTGGACTGTAGAGTGAGTTCCAGGACAGCCAGGGCTACACAGAGAAACCCTGTCTCAAAAAACAAACAAAAAAAATTATTTTATGGGAGGCCAGGCATGGCACATGCCTTTAATCCCATCACTTGGGAGGCAGAGGCAGGGAGATCTTTATGAGTTTGAGGCCAGCCTGGTCTACAAAGTGAGTTCCAGGACAGCTAGGCCTACACTGAGAAATCCTGCCTCAAAAAAAAGTTTTTTTTTAATCTGGGAATATCTTGGAACTGAACATATGTTTCATTAACATATGTTTCCATTATGGAAAAACTTTTGACATGGCTTTCTTTCCTTTCTAACTTCCTCCTTTTTTAAGCATAATTTTCTAGTTATTTAATTCTTATTTAGATATTAAATTTTACTGATTGGTTAGCATGCTAAGATTTCTCATTGTCTTTCCTTCTTTTTTTTTCTAAGCTATTTAAGTATTGGTTTTATAAAAGGTGTAGTATTTTGATTATTTAAAAGCACACAACTAGAGTATGATGTAGTGACTCAGGCCTATAATCCTAGCACTTGGAAGGGGGAGGTAAGAGGATAAAGAGTTCAAAATCAGGACTGATGAGATGGATCAGTGGGTTAAGGAACTTGCCACCAAGCCTGGCCACCTGAGTTCAGTCCCTGAGAGCCACAAACTGGGAGAAGAGAACCAACTTCCACAAGTAGTCCTCTGACCTCCACACAATCACCAAGGCACAGGTGCACCTGCACAAATAGATAAGCAGATGATAATGATAGATAGACAGACAGACAGACAAACAATAGATATTAGATAGATAGATAGATAGATAGATAGATAGATAGATAGATAGATAGATAGATAGATAGAATTTTAAAGGTTAAACAAAGAGTCCAAGATCATCCTCAATGTATAGAGAGTATAAAACTAGCTTGGTTCTAATACTTTTGTATTATTTTCTAATACAAAAGTATTAGAACCTTGAAAGTTATAAAAGATTTGGTTTTGTTTTTATTTTTTATGACAAGCTTCCTTGACTCTACTGTTAATTTACAGCATGACTTTGTAACACAGCAAGCCCCGTGCACATTCAGAGACAGTTTGGTGGTGAACAGAAATGTCACCTATAAAGAAGGTCGGGGAGGGGGGGGGCGCAGACAGAAGCCCATAACAGTTATCTGTCAACCTTTGAGAGGCCTTCTTTCAATGCCTAACATACAATATTTTACCTTGTTCAGAAAAAATGTACAATTCCCCTACACTGAAAGTGATTCGGAAAGCAACACAACCCAGGACTAAAGAGAAAATGAAATAGACAGTGGCCTCGGTGGACAGCTCACTTGGTAAGTCATGACACCTTTGTTTGGGCAGACATTACTAATGCCCACTGCAGGGATGAGGAAATGAGGCTCTCACACATAGCAGCCCACAACAGAACTGAGATGTACTAGCCTTTTTTCCCTCACAATACCACCTTTTTCCTTCAGCTTACTACAGTGCTGCAGAGGAAAACAAATGTGGACATACAAAGTGTCCCTGTCTGGGTGAAATTATCACCTGTGGAAGACCAAGCGTTTGGGGTTTTTTCATAGTCTGCTGAAGGACAGCTTCAAAGAAGTAGCCTGCTTGGTGTTTGTCTCTGAGGTGACTGGGCAGAGATAGGCTGGGAGTAGCTGCTGTACCTTCCTGCCTCTGCGGGGTGGTGCTGCTTGGGGTCCTTCCCTGGCCTCCCTCTGTGCATTGTTTTCACTGTCTGGAGGCTGTGGAGTGAGGAGTCAGGGACAGAGTCTGTCATTCTGTGATTCATGATAGAGCTGTAGTTTTGATATTGACCTTAGAGGCAGGCTATGTGAAGGATGTTTACAGCCCGTATGAGGTTTCGTTTTATTGGAAGATGCCTCATTTACTTGAAGGTTGTTGAGGGGTTTTCACGTGGCTTTCAGGGACAATCAATGCTTATGTTTACATCACTGTGTTATACTGCTTACTCGATTGTTCCCCCTGACTTGCTTAGCTTGTTTTCTTATACCATCCAATACCACTTGCCCAGGAGTGGCACTGCCCTCAGTGACCTTGGGACCCCCTACATTAATCATTATACCATTCATGACCTCCTGCCCAGAATTAGCACTGCCCCCAGTGACCTGGAACAACCTATATTAACCATTAATCAAGAAGAAGCTCCACAGACTTGCCTACAGACAAATTTTTTCTTTTTTCTTTTGTTCACTGAAAATTTATACAATATATACTGACCACAATTTCCCCTTCCTCATCTCTTCCCAGACCCTCCCCACTCTCCTACCCATCCAATTCAGCACCTTCTTTTTCTGACCAGAAAACAAACAGGCAAACAAAAAAAAAAAACCAGAATTTTAAAAAATGAAAAATCATAAGAAACACACAGATACAAAAAAAAAATAACATATAATCAGAATCCATAACATACAAGCAAAAGGCCAATAAGAATTTTTTTAATGCTCAAACAAAGCAACATGAAACAAACAAACAAACAAATCTACAAAAACACCTTTGAGTTCATTTTGTGTTAGCCCTGCTGGGCGTGCAGTCTACCCTTATATACCCAGTGAGGTTCCTTTGGAGAAAATAAGTCTGTCCTTTGCAAATGGGGTCAGTTGGGGATCGCTTCTTGAGTAGGGCTGGGAAGTGATGTCCACTTCCCCGTCTCAGCATTGGAACCTTGTCCAGCTTGAACCTGTGCTGGCCCTCTGTGAGTTCATATGTGCATCCTTCCTTCTGTGTCTGGAAGACACTGTCTCCTTTCTGTCCTCCATCACGCTTACAATCATTTACCTCCTCTTCCTCAGCCCCAGAGCCCTTAGGGGAAGGGGATTGGTGAAGACATTTCATTTAGGAGTGAGTGTTCCTCAGTCTCTCACTCTTTGCACATTGTCCAATTGTGGGTCTCTGTATTAGTTTCCATCTACTGAAAGAGAAACCTTCTCTGACAATGACTGAGCAGGGCACTGATCTACAGGTACAGCAAAATGTCATTAGAAGTCATTTTATTGTTGTGTTCCTTTAACAGAACAACTGTAACACGAATCTTAAAAGGTCTTATTAATAAAAACAAACCTGGAGCCAGGAATTGGGGTGAACGCTGAAAGATCAGAGAAGCAGAACAAACCACAGCAAACCTCACATTGCCAACTTCTCAGCCGATCTTGTTTCCTCAAACTAGAAGCCTCTGTGTCCTCATCCAAATGGATCTCAGCTGAATTGCTGCTAAAAGCCTAAAAGCTTAACAAGCCTAGTTCCTGGTCCTCACGTGTTATATACCTTTCTGCTTCCTGCCATTACTTCCTGAGATTAAAGGTGTGTGTCACCATGCCTGGCGGTTTTCAGTGTGGCCTGGAACTTGAAGAGATCCTGATAAATCTCTGCCTCCCAAATGATAGGATTAGAGGCATGTGCTACCACTGCCTAATCCTATGTTTAATATAGTGGCTGTTCTGTTCTCTGACCCCCAGATAAGTTTATTGGGGTGCTCAATATACCAACCACAAACAATAGTATGTTGTTTTCCCCTAGGTACATACCCTATCTAATCTCAGGTCTTTGGCATCCCAAGCAGTGTTGGGCGTGGGTTCCATCTCATGGAGTGGGCCTTAAATCCAAACACAGAGTGGTTGTTTACTCTCATAACATTTGCACCCTTATTGCACAAGAATATTTTGCAGTCAGGTCACCATTGTGATTGCAGGGTTTGTAACTGGGTTGTGGTTTACCTTTTTCTCCTCTGGCACCATGCAGAATACCTTCTAGTACCCTGAACACCAGACAGTAGGGGTAAAGTCTATAGTTAGACTCCAGTTCTATTTCTTCATGTTTAATGAGATATGTAAGTGTTGTCTTCAGCAATAAAGCCTTCCAATTAGTTTGTGGAGAGCCACCAGTAGCCTTGGCCTGAGTTGTTTGAGTGTTCCCATGGGGGCCCTTTGGCCAACAACTCAATTAGATGTAACCCATTCCTGTCACTTGAGTTACACTTGGTGCCAAAAGGTGTGTAGTTGGTGCATTGTCTTCCCTGTTATTTGGTGACTCCCTTTAGAGTTACTTTATGTGTGTATATCATTTAAGAAACTTATATACAGTAGGTTTCCATATACTCCATTGAATAGCCCTTAGTGTTGACCTTTCACTATCCTCCTCCTTACCTCCTCTTCTCCCCTCCTCCCCATTTAATCTTCATGTTCCATTCTTCCCACTCTCTCTCCATAACTATATATTTTATTTCCTCTTCCTTGGGAAACCCTCCTCTGCCTCCCAAGTCCCTTACTAGTTACCTAGCCTCTGTGGGTATGTGAACTGTAGGATGCCTGGTGAAGACTTAAAAGCCAACATCCACTTTTAAGAGAATATATACTATATTTGTGTTTTGGAGTCTGGGTTACCTCACTCTGTATGAATTTTTCTAACTCCATCCATTTACCTGTGAAATTTATGCTTTTATTTTTAACAGCTGAATAATAATTTCATTGTGTAAATGTATCACATTTTCTTTATTCATTCATTAGTTGATGGACATCTAGGCCATTTCCAGTATTTGGCTACTATGGATAGAGCACATGGATAAGCAAGTGTCTCTGTAGTAGGATGTGGAGCCCAAGAATAGTGTAGGTGGATCTTGAGGTAGATCTAGTCGTAGTTTCTTAAGGAACTGAAGCTGCTCAAGTTTGCACTCCCACCCACAATGGATAAATGTCCCCCTTCCCTACATCCTTGCCAACATGAGCTGTGTTATGGGGGAATTTTCTCAATTGAGAGTCTCTCTTTCCAAATGACTCTAGCCTGTAGATGTAATTCTGAATGGTCTTATTAAATAAGAAACACAGAGCCAAATGCAGAGTTAAAGGCCAGAGATCAAGCAGCAGCCAAGAGCTAAGACCACCTTCTTACCCATCGCTGTCGTCCTTCCCCTCAGAAAGAGACCTGCTTCCTGTGTGTCTGTCTTTTTATTGACTTTCTGTTCTGCCTTCTCATTGGCTGTAAACCCAACCACATGACCTCCTCGTCACTGCTTGTCTATGCAGACCTCCAGGTCTCTAGGGTTGGTACTGAGATGAAAGGCATGTATCTCCATGCTGGCTGTGTCCTTGAATACGCAGAGATTCTGTCTGTCATGTGATTGGGATTAAGGGCGTGTGCTACCACTACCAGACTTCTGCTTAATGGCTTGCTCTTAGCTCTGATCTCCAGGCAACTTTATTAACATACAAATAAAATCAGCACAAATAAAATATCACCATACTAGCCTGTCTCAAGTCAACATAAAACTAACCAGGACAATTGACCCCAGTCAACTTCATAAATAAACACTTCACTGTTAAACCATAACCTTCCTTTTCTTGCTCCTCCAGATTATCTCAATATTCATATTACAATATAAAACTTTAAAAATCTCACAGTCTAAAAATTCAAACACTTAAAAGTTAAGTCTCTTTAAAATATCCAAACTGTGTAAAATTCCAAAGTCTCTTTGTTGTGAGCTCCTGTAAAATCAAAAATAAGTTTAATACTTTCTTACTCTGAGTGAAAAATCGGGGCAGTGCCAATCAGATCAAAGCAAAACCAAAATCCAACAGTGTAAATCACAGTGTCCGACTCTGGGACTCACAGTCTTCCAGGCTTTAAAGGACTTGCCGCAGGACACACTGTGCCCTATAGATTCAGGCTGACTTCACACACAGTCCCTGCTGTCCTTGCTCATCATCCCATGGCGCTAGCATCTCCACTGAAACTGGGCTACATCTTCACCAACAGCCTCTTCTGGGCTCTCTTCAGAGACCCTATGTCAAGCCTCAATTTTTCTCCATGACCCCTTCAACCCTAGGGCTTAAATTGCAACTGAGGGCACCTTCACTAATGAACTCTTCTGCCTCTCTTCAGGGACCCCTGCTCTGCCACACAGTGACAAGTCTCAGATGTTCACTGTGACCTCTTCATGCCTTCAAAACCAGTACCACCTAGGTGACTCTTATGTATTGCCAAGTTCAGATGCCAGCATGAGATACAGCCTCTGGACCACAGCTTCTGTGTGCTTATCCTGAAGAAATACTCCCAGAAGATTTCACCTAAATGATGTTGGCCTCTTCTTAATCACAGCTGATTGTACTGATTGTCCCAACAAAGCAAAGGTTTCCTCTTACTGGTTCTTAATTCAAAATATCATTCAAACAATACTGGTAGAGTCTTTCCTTCCCTCTGAACCTTCACAAGCTAGGTCTTCATCATCTGGACTGCCTTCAGGTTTATCTTCTTAGCTCCCACAATAGTTGTCTAAACTCTAGATGCTCAGTGACTTTTCCAGTACAAAGTTCCAAAATCCTTCCACAGTCCTCCCCAAAACAACATGGTCAGGTCTGTTGGAGCAATATCCTGCTTCTGTTCCCAATTTTTATCTTAGTTAGGATTTCTATTGCTGTGAAAAAACACCATGACTAAAAGCAATTTGGGGAGGGACAGATTTGTTTCATCTTACACTTGCACATCACAGTCCATTACTGAAATAAGCTATGGCAGAAACGGGAGCAGGAACCATGAAAGAATAATGTTTGCTGGCTTTCTCCACTTGGCTTGCTCAGCCTGTTTTTGTTTTTGTTTTTTTCCCAATAGCACCCAGAACCACCTTCTCAGAAGTAGCCCTGCTCCCAGTGAGCTTGGACCACCTACACCAATCATGAATTAAGAAAATGTCCCCATAGAGTCACCTACAGACAGATCTTATGGGGGCATTTTCTCAATTGAAATTCCCTCTCCTCAAATGACTCTAGTGTATGCTAAGTTGACATAAAACTAACCAAGACAAAGTCAAAATGACGCCCTGTTGGTGTTGGTATTTTGAGACAGGGGTTTGCCCAGGCTGGCTTCAAACCTGTGAAACTCCTGCCTCAGGCTCCAGAGTGCTGGGGCTGCCCACTTGTGCCACCATATTCAGTACAAAAACGACCTTCTTGTCACTGACATCTTTCCAGTGCTTGTAGTATTGATGGCTAATGTCTTATGATCGTGTATTTTATTTAACCTTTTAACTACAATAATGAAAACCCATTAAAGATGCCAATCACAGTGTAGCAAAAATAAGCAGAATAAAATATAATGCAGTGTTAATGCTATCACACCAATGTGAGCCATTTTTAATGTTTTCAGAGCTACAATGAAATTAGAAATTCTCCCCCAATCAAAAGCTCCATTTCATTGTGATGATGCAGCCCCTTTTTAATAGAAAAACAAATTTTATGTATGGTAGAGTATAGACAGGCTAAGTAATTTCCATATGGTCACAAAGTATTTAAGCCCGTATATAGATGTAACCAACCGTCTTATCAAACAAGAAACACAGAAACAATGCAAAAGAGAAAGCCGAGAGGTCAGAGCTCAGAGCCAAAATCTCACCCTTCCGCCTGTGGTGTCCCAGCCACCCGAATGAGGGTCCTCTTTCCTGTCTGTTCGTCTATTTAAAGTATTTTGTTCTGCCTTCTCATTGGTTGTAAACCCAAACACGTGACTGCCTCATCACTGTCTGAAGGTACAGTCCCCTAGGTCTTAAAGGCATATGTCTCCAATGCTGGCTATATCCCTGAACACACAGATATCTATGGGATTAAAGGCGTGTGCCACCACCGCCACACTCTTGCTATGGCTCTAATAGCTCTGACCCCCAGGCAACTTTATTTATTAACATACAATCAAAATCACATTTCAGTACAATTAGATTACCACCACACCCGTATTTTTAAATGACTTCAGAGTTTGCTTTGTTCATGTCCCCTCAAAATCCATGTGTTTAAATGTTAATCCCCAACGGTTGGGGAGATGGAGCCTTTGGGAGATGATCATATCCTAGAGCTCAGCACACATGGATAGGATTAGTGCCCCAGCTGCCTTGCTCCTATACCATGGGAAAGCAAGCCCAGAAGTGTTGTCTATGAACTGAGAAGCAGGTCCTCATCAGACACTGAAGCTTCTGCCTTCTTGATCTTATGCGTCCAGTTGCTCCTCAGTGTCACTCTGGAGCTGTTGCAGTAGCCTGAACACAATGAGAGAGCAGCCCCTTCCCAGTGTCTGCCCATTGTATCTTACACTTGCACATCACAATTCATCATTGAAAGAAATTATGGCAGAACCAAGGTGGTTCACTGAGATGGGGGTCAGCAGAGGGGGCTGCGGGAAAGTGGCTATGATTCTTCAGTTTTCTAGTTTAACAGTCTTAACAACATGGGCAAACAGTAGTGCTTGAATTGTTCTGGAAAGTGGTGGTTCTGGGATTTTCTGAATGTACTTAACATAAATGAATTTGTCTTCTTTTACAAGGAGAACTTCAGTTGTATTCTGGAGTTGATGACTCATGGCGCACACTGTTAGAGAATGCTTGTTGGGACTTATTTTTTTATTCATGTGGCTGTTGGTTAAAGCAAAAATAGGTAAGATATTTCTGTAAACTAGTCTGTGGAAGGAATTGCAGTTTAAATTCTCAGGTACAAATGAACCATGCATTGTGGTAAGTATTGTAAGTGAATTTTATAGTCAGTCTTTTACCATTTAATGGGTAATATAAGGATATACTCATGTATTTACTCTTGAGAAACTGGCTAAGAAACATGAAGTGTAATGGAAGCATACTTCACATTAAAGTGCATCTTAGGACCAGAAAGAATGCTCAGCAGGTAAAGGCACTTGCTGTGCAAACCTGACCACTTGAGGTTGATCCTGTGAGCTCACACTCTAGCCTCCATATGTGTGCTGTGGCAGATGTGCACACACACATAAATAATTCATAAAATAAAAAGGTACAGTGTATTTTAGCAGGGGTATTCATGGTTGAATTCAGCTATCATACACACACACACACACACACACACACACACACACACAAATACATACATATATATTGTGTGTGTCTACATTTTCCTGGCTTTATGACTAAGAGTTTGATTTTGGCTTTCTGGCCTATTATATTGAAAAAAACCAAAGAAACCAAGACCAAACATAGAAGAAAAATAGGAGAGGGTGATAGGCTCCATTTAGCTTTGAAAATAAAAAGGAGTGTTTTATTTTAAAGGATTGTTCAGCATTTCATCTACTTGATGTAAATAGTTTCTCTGCCAGTTCCTCCTGATGCACATTGATCTTATCACAGAACTATCCCCAAAGAAGACTTCCAGTGGGAACTTTACATCACCTCTGCGAGTGAGAATGAATCTGGATTTTGTAGTTCCTTTTACTGAAGTGTGTCAGTGGAAGGCTTTGGGAGTGAGTTAAATGGCAGTTCAAGGAGGCACACACATGTCATTTACTTCAACCACACTACCCAGGGTCCTACAACTTGAAGAAATACCAAAATGCAGGTTATTGGACCCACTCTGCTTTGGTTTTTGTTTGTTTCTTTGGTACATTCTCTGACTATGTAGCCTGGTCTGTCCTCTAATTCGTAATGCCTCATCTCAGCCTCCTACGTGCTGGGATCATAGAACCGGTTACACCTGGCTTCTGATTTTCACCCTGATGCCAATTAAAAGCACCCTTGAACCTTGGAATATTTTATCTTGATTATAAAATGATGTTACAAGCTATACTTATTTAATACAACTGATAAATTAAGAGAAGAAATTATTTCTAGATATGACTCTAAAGTCTTGTAACATTGTCTTTCTTTTTTCTTAATGTGAGTATTAAAATAAGCATTTTAAATTACAAAGACAATGATAAACATGCAATTTATCATGGGAAGCTCTCTTTAAGTGCTCTGGTGTGAAATCTGCATGTGAAAAAGTCCCATGAGAGATTTAGGAACTGCATTCCAGAATGTTCTTTCAATGCTGCTTTCTTGATATTTTCCTCTTGTGGTTATTATTATATATAATATATATTATTATTATCTTGTGGTTATTAGCATGGATGTCTTGAGAAGAATATATATTTAATTCAAGCACATGTTAATATGGCTTTCTTTTGCTCTCCAGCATCGCCAATGCTACTGGAGCAATGTAGGTTATTAATAGTTCTGTGATCTGATGAGTTTTGATTTCACCCTGCTGTGGGGGTTGAACAAACCCTCCATCTCGAAATGGATGTCTTCCTCCTAGCTGATTTTTGCATTTGTCTCTTCCTGCAGATGTGTGCAAGCGAGGCACAGTGACTGTGAAGCCTTCCCCTGTGATTCCCCTTGGGTCAGCTGCCAATATTTCCTGCTCTTTGAATCCCAAACATGGCTGTTCTCCTTTCAGTTCTAACAATTTAACCCTCTTGAAGTTCGAAGAAAAAGTCCATTCCCACTCTGGTAACTCCTTCACTTTTGAAGTCACCAACCTTCCCCTTGGTGTGACCTTATTTGTCTGCAAACTGAAATGTTCCGGGAGTTGGCACCGAGTGTGTGGGGTGGAGATCTCAGTTGGTGGTGAGCACTCCTTTCTGAACTCTTAGGAAGTTGTGTGTGTGAGGGTGTGTGTGTGTGTGTGTGTGTGTGTGTGTGTGTGTGTGTATTTAACATGACATAAATAGAACCCAAACATCAGACAGATTTCTTTGTTCTTCCATAACATTAAGTATTTTATTGTGAGAGCAGCATGAGAATCTTGGTGTGAAGAGGCCAGAAATCAACAGAATTAGGATCTTATTTAGCAGCTCACAGTCTCTCCCCAGCTCTGGACCTTCACTCTCTCTCACTTCTTTTCTTTCTTCCTTTTCTCTTTCTCTGACCATTGGGAGAATTTGCTTACTCTCTGCCCTTGGCTCTGGAGCTGGATTGCCACACCCTCTTGATTTAGGGAAACTGGTTCAAAGCTACAAGCTCCTGAAGAGATGGAAGAGTGTCTCTTCCAACTTGCATCCCAGGCTGGCAGCACACTGGGAGCACCTCCTCTTCCCTCACTTATTGCACAGCAAGTAGTTTTTCCATCTCCACTCACCCATGAGGAGCGGCTGTCACACGAGGAGCAACAGGAAACTTCCACCATACTTAGGGGCCTTTCCTGGAAATTTTCCCAGTGCAAAACTGATAGGCTAATACTTCAAGAAGGGAGCTGAGAGTGAGGAAAGGAGCTGGGAAATACAGTTAATGCATCATTTAGTATTGGAATGGTTCTAGAAAAGTGTCATTAATTTCACCATTGTGCAAACAACATAAAGTAATCTTAAGCTAAAATGGCATTGCCAGGTGACAACATCTCACAGAAACACTGTTACAAATGTGGTCTGTAGACTGAAACACCATTATGTGTACATGATGGTACATCATGGTGATGTTACTAAGCTGACAAGGCCTTGGCAGAAAATACTGCTAACTTTGGTCACTTAAGGACATTTCCAGGAAAAGCATATGGAAACACACGAGCAAGAAAAGGGGAAAAGCCTTTACCTAGCTCCTAATTGGTCCAAGTTTTCCCCATAGGAACTCTGTTACGCTACTGGCTTGTATAGTTTGACACTCCAGGCAACTGCTAAGAGGAAAAAACTAAAACATCACAACTGGCCTCTACTGCATGAGCACAGGGAAGCCAGCAGACTCCTGCCTGCAGTTCCCAGCCAGCAGTCCACAGCTTCTCCGGTCCAGCTAGGCAAGCTGCTGAACGTGGTTGGGCCCTGAAGGATTCTATAGCTCTTTAGCCTCCATTGTTCTGGAGGTATATATGCCTAAATACATGTATGCAAGGAAATGCTTATTATTTTAGCAAAAGGAATAATTTATTATTTTATTAAATAGAACCATGAGAGCTATATATCATCATACCTAGTCAATAGACAGAACTAAATGCTGAGATGTTAACTTGTCCAAAACCACACAATGAACACTACTGTGTATGTATCTGTGGTGAATGCTAGCAATATATATATATATATATATATATATATATATATATATATATATATATATATATATATCCCATCAGTTACAGCTTTGGAAGAGATGGGGAGGATTTTGTAGTGTGCACTTTTTAATCTTGCCAAAAGCACATCTATCTGCATGAGAGTCTCAGCACAGTATTAGAATAGGGTGGCTGCGCAACTAAGTGTTTTCTTAAAGCCCTCCATTAATTCTATTCTTGCAGAGGACCTGGTGCAATTTCCAGCACTCACATGGAGGTTCCTAACCATCTATAACTCCAGTGCCAAGGAATTTGATGTCCTCTTCTGCACTCTGTGGCATGCAAACAGTGCCTGGATACAAACACAGGCAAAACACTTATGCTCACTTTAAAAATACGTTGTTTGAAAATAGATCCCCTTTGCCTTGTATATCTTTGTTTCAACAGCCAGGCCTGTGTCTGGAGACTGGAAGCTGTAAACATCTGTATGCATAAGCTATACCTACCTGCTCATAAAGTGCTCCAAGCAATACAGTGTCTCAGCAGCCCATTTCATGTGCGTGGAGACAAAGACAATTGTTGTTGTTGTTGTCTTTTAATTTGTCACTGGGAGTAGAGATTTATTTTTGTTTGTTTGTTTTTGTTTCTTTGTTGAGACAGGGTTGATCTATATAGCTCAGGCTGCTCTCAAATTCACAGTCCTCCTGCATCAGTCTCCTGAGTGAGGAAATTATAGGTGTGTGCCACCATGCCTGGCTTAAATTTTCTTATAATGAGTTACTATTCCTCTGGCATTGTGGGTCTCCCTGGGGTAATAGATGTTTGCCTTTACACAAAAAAAGGTAGAATTATAGCTTACCAGCCACACCTGAACTGGACCCATGATTCTGCCCTTCATAGTTTTGTAGTCTGGGCCAGATGTTTTGCCTAAGTCTTAGTTTCTTCTTTGATAAAGTGAAAAATAATCTTACCTATTTTATGGAGAGCTTTATAGGGAACTGCCTATAAGACACTTGGCATAGGGCTTAGGCTATAAGAAGTAATCAATATTCATCACTATTGCTTTAATTATTAGAGAAAATTCATGCCTTGGAAGCAAATGTGAACATGTTAGAATATGATTTCATGTAGATTTGTGGGCATGTGGAAGGCATTATCAATATACTGCAAATAATAATAATGTGATCTTGAGATTACCTACAGAATATTTCAAACTCCAAGTCTTGCTCTTCCTTCTTAAAGTTGCTCCAGAGCCACCTCGAAACATATCATGCATCCAGAAAGGAGAACATGGGACTGTGACCTGCACCTGGGACCCTGGACAATATACTCATCTGAAAACCCACTACACTTTACAGTGAGTAAGGGACTATGTGGCTGTTTTGTATATGTTCTATCTTACATGGCTTTCATCAGTATCAAACATTTTTGTTATATGCCAAGTAGAAACAGCAATGGCTTCCTCACCTAGAGTTTAAATACTGTTCCCAGTGCCTGTCAGTGAGAGCTGCCCCAGTCATTTGAACTATGAGGCCTGATATCTTGGCCCCACATTCTCATTCAAGGTTTTCTTTGGGTCATCTAAGACCTTGGTTAAGATGGTCTCCCTGCATTTGGGTTAATCTGGCTGTGCAAAACCCCACCTCCTCTGGAATCTAACACTCTTGGGCATCATGATACAGAAATGGACTCCTCCTTGGAGGAACTGCATTTTAAAATACAGTTGGCTGGTGTGAGAGTCCACAAGAGGGGATATGGGGAGCCTCCCTTCCTGGAAGATATCCCATAATCCCATCACAAGTCCAGCTGTGTCTAGGTGGGCAAGAGATAGAAAAGACAATGGGACTAAGACTGGAGTCTTCCTACCACTATACTGTGAGCTCACACTATACTTCCATCCAATGGAGGTCAGATGCTCAAAGGTTCTTTGGATAAAGGTTGGACCTGCTTTGAGGAGCTGAGATGACAGCCAGTTTTGGGGGAACAGTGTAGGCAAATACCCCTCTACAAGAGCATTCATTTAAAAAGATTTCAGTTGTACCAAAAAAAGGGGGAAGGAGGAGACATGGCTTTATACATGAGAACAGGATTCAAGTATATCCCCTAGTAATAAGACCAGCCTTGAAATGTGTCTGAAATTTTTGATCTTAGAACATTGTATTCTTTTGTAGTGACTTCAGGAAGCAGAATGTAAAGTATATTGCTAAACAGCCTTGTGTTTGGGTTACAGGTTAACTGGACCAAACAATGTGACCTGCCAGGGCCTGTGCAGCAGTCAGAATTGTAGTCGTTTGAATCTTGGAATCACTCTAACTTCTGATTTAGCTGAATCCACGTTCACAGTCAGTGTCACTGCCATCAATCACCTTGGAAACTCTTCTTCATTTCCATTTACATTCACGTTCTTGGACATAGGTAAATTTGCAATTTCTCAGGTTTGTTTACTGGCACGTGAAAAGTACCTTAAAGCTCACTCAAATCTTCTATGTGTAGTTGTTTTAAAGGAGACAGGAGCTGATGGAAAGCAACCAATGGGTACAGACAAAGTTCGTGGCTTTTTTGATGCATGTGAAAGAAGGACTGGCCTGTGGCCATGTAGAGGTGGCTGCAGAATGGGACCTTCAACTTCATTCTCTTAGAGAAGTCAAGAGTTTCTGACTTCTTCCCATGACATAAGCAGCTGCCAGTGACACCACTAATGGAAGAGTGTCCCAGGAGGTCTTACAGATGTCCTTTTATCCCATTGGCTACCCTCATTGTGCACACTGTGCATACAATGTGCCAAGATACAGATATATCTGCTCTGAGAATGCTAGCCTCTAGCGCTGGTCCCTGGAAACTGTAACGCACCAGTCCCAGCACATGTGTGAACATTAGAACTGGCCTAGCTAAATTAGAGGCCAAGCTCAAGCATCCCAACTGGCAATGATCCAGATGGACCTGCGTGTCTGTCCTGCCTATAGTTCCTACTCACACTGTGTGTCTCTCTCCCTTCCTGTGGTATCTCCTTGCTATTTGCATACCTATTTGCTCTCCACCATTCTCCTCATCCACCTTTTGTCTCTTGAAAAACTGTTTGTGTCTACACCACCATCTTTCCCTGTGCCTTTCTGGTTTTCCTGTATTTTTGCTTTGTTTTGAATTTTCCTAACATTTTTTTTTTCCTGAAGTGGTCACAACTCGCCACCCCTGCCTTTGCAGTCCTTGGCATACTGGTTTTCTTTAAATCCAGGAAGTGGGGTCAACACATCCACTACTTGGTAAAGATGAGGTTGGGTTAAGGGCAATTATCTCAATGGCTGAGAAGTGAAACCAACATTTTTAAATAGCTCATGTCAGTACTTAAAGCAATTGCCGATCATAAAGGCTGACTTGAACAGTTTGGTTTGTCTCGGTTACCAGTGAGGCCTCTTCCTCCGTGGGACATCAGAATCAATTTTCTAAATGCTTCTGGGAGCAGATGTATCCTGCAGTGGAAAGATGAGCAGCAGGTGGTTCGCAATCGACTCAGATACCGGCCTCGGAACAGCAGGTCCTGGAATATGGTAAGTGTTCAGAGGAAAGGGAGAGAACCAGTAAGGGCCTCGACATTGCTGCACAGACTCATCATGTCAACAAAGCAGAGAGTTTAAGAGCGTTTAGCATGGAAACACATACTGGAAATCCATCAGAAAGTTATTTATACTTCTGTGTGCTTTTTAAAAAATTTTGTGTGTACAAGTGTTTCCCTTGCATATATGTGCGCTTTGTGCCCCCAGAGGCCCGAAGAGAGCATCAGATCCCCTGAGGCTGGAGTTGCAGGTTGTTCTGAGACACCATATGGGTGCTAGAAACCAAAACTTGGTCCTCTGCAAAGGCAGCATGTGCTCTTCATCACTGAGCCATCTCTCTGTTTATTTAGAAACATTGGAGGGGCTGGAGAGATGGCT